ATATTTGTATAATGAATACTATCGTAATTCGTAAGAATATAACAGTGCATCGATACCTCAATGATATTTACCCATTTATAAATAAATTCATATAACGCTCAGTACACGACTGTCAATTACTTCAAAGTGACTTGTGCGCATTAGATGCCTGGGCTATAAATATTAGTTTGGTCTTTAATGTCTCTAAATGTTGCTCAGAATTTTTGTTTAGAGGTCGCACTCACTTGGAATTTAAATAGGTATTTACTTTGTGGGACCTATCTTGATATTGAAGGGAATACGGTGAAAGATCTTGGAGTTTTCTATGATAGTAACTTAAATGTTCATAACCACAAAATGGGTAAATCCTGTAAATGGATTTCTTAAGAGGACGTCTCATCCGGATGTGTTGTCTCCGTCTTACACACGTACGACATGGGACAATTTTTGTTTGTTAGTTTCAATAGGGTATTGTCAGTTTTGATATTAGAGTGAATCGACCTATTATCAAACTTTTAGGTAACAACATTATCTGTGTTCCCTCGTTGGTTTTTTAAGATATTTCAATTTTTAAGTGAGTTATGAACATTTTAGAATATGAATACATTACAACCCATAACTCACTTATAAATTAAAATATCGTAAAAAACCAACTAGAGAACACAGATACTGTTCTTACATAAAAGTTTGCAGATAATAATTCACTCTAATATAAAAACTGACAATACCCTATTGAAACTAGCCAACGAACATTTGGTAAGTCGTACATGTGTAAGACGGAGACAATACATGCTGATGCGACGTCCTCTTAATCGGGTTTGTGACGAATTTAAGTTGATAACTCCACTAAAAGCTTTATATTGTGCGCCCATCAGATCTATTATTGAATTTTCTGTAATTATATACAACCCTCACACCACAAGCAATATGAACCAACTTGAAAGGGTTCAACTTTCTTGATATAAAACCCAAAACGCCCAAAATAAAGACAAATGTAATGCAATGATTTCATGAGATTTTTAAAAAAAAAAAACCAAATTTTATTGTCCTTTAAAACCGGAAATCGACTTCGTAGAAAGCCTAGTTATTTTTCCAAAGAATTCATATACATATACTGGGTGATTCTTTTATCAAACATCACTCATTATTTCAAAAAGTGTAAATTTTTTTGAAGATATTTTTTTACATAGTTTCAAGTCGCTTATAAAACAACGTTTTTATTAAAAAATTATATTTTTAAATATTTTTTATCCTTATAATTTTTTAAGTTTTTTAATTTTTTGTTTAACAACATAGGGTTTTAATTTTATATTCCAAAGCAGAATATTTTTCTTAGTATTTTGATACATGAAAATCGAATTTGGGTTGAGTATAGTTTATGAGTTATAAGTAATTAAAGTTTAGACGAACGGTGAAGTGGACAAACTTTTCGCGGGGTAACCCCGAACCACTCCACTCCGCTCGTCTAAACTTTAAATACTTATAACTCATAAACTACTCAACCCAAATTCGATTTTCATGTATCAAAATACTAAGAAAAATATTCTGCTTTGGAATATAAAATTAAAACCCTATGTTGTCATTCAAAAAGTAAAAAACTTAAAAAATTATAAGGATAAAAAATATTTAAAAATATAATTTTTTAATAAAAACGTTGTTTTATAAGCGACTTGAAACTATGTAAAAAAATATTTTCAAAAAAATTTACACTTTTTGAAATAATGAGTGTTGTTTGATAAAAGAATCACGCTGTATAATAAAAATTAAAATCGGACATTCGGAAGTATGTGTAATTTACCACCATTTATTGGTCTTTAACGTACAAAAAATACGTATATTGCGATCCCCTTAATTATTATTATCAACTTGGGGGGGAAGGGCGTCAAAATATGGTTTTGCCCAGGGCGCCAATATTTCTAGCGGCATCCCTGATTGTATTTGATATTTTTTGTAATTATTTTTTTCCTTATATGTAGGTAGTAGGTACCATATTATATTATCTAATTTGTTGAATTAATGTCTATTGTTAACATCAAGTACCTACCTAATAAGTGTGATCAATTAATATCCTATTAATTATTTTTATTAGTATCTGTTTGTGATTTGTTTTAGATTCTGAGTGAAACGATGAATGTATTGATTTTACAATGATGTGTGTTTTTTTATTTTTTTTTATTTTTTATTTTTTTTGTGTCTGTCATCACGTTTTAGGACAGTAAAAGTGCCTGGATTTTCTTCATCAGTAGCTTTTCTGATAGGAAAGTGAATCTAGTTGGTACTTTGGGGGGTCAAAAGTATAAATTTCCCAGTAGTTTTCACAAGCGCCGGGAAAAACAACATAAAAATTAAGGAAAAACGGGAATTTTTACGCAAAATTGGTTTTCCAAAAAATCGATTTTGGTTTTTGGTGTAACTCTGAAACAAATGAACGTATATACATGAAATTTTCACTGGTTGTTTATATTTGCATTTTCTATACACGATAACATTTTCAAAATATTTTGATTTATTTTGAACTGTTTAGGGACATTTTCATTTTCCATTTTTTTTTAGTTTTTTTTCTAGAAATATCAATAAAATTTTATTTGTTGGTTGCGAAAGCTTGAAAATTTAATAGAAGGCTCCTAATATATTGCTTCAAAGGCAGATGAAAAATATTAAAAATCCTTAGTCACAATTTTTTTTTATAAGCATTTAAAGTTCAAAAATTGACAAAATATGGGAAAATCACGAAAATTAGCAAATTATTTTGAGTTAAGAATTCGTAAAAATTTTTCTTTTTAAATCTAAGATTTGAAAATTAAACACAAGATTCCTTATAAGTTTGTCTACCTTTATCAAAAGAAAAATGTTTATAAGAAAGTCAAATTAAATTTTTATGAGCGTTTGAAATTCAAATTTTTACAACATTGAATATTCACTCGATTTCCCATGTAGCGATTTCCTTATTTTGTTGTAATTCAAAAACAAATAACTGTAGATACATGAAAATTTCACTGAATGTTTAAATTAGCATTTTCTATACACCATACAATTTTGAAAATATTTTGACTCTTTTTGAGCTGTTTATGGACATTTACAGCTTTCAATTTTTTTAGTTTTTTTTTCTATAAATATCAATAAAGTTTTATCTGTTGGGCCAAAAAGTGTAAAAATTTAATACAAGGCTCCTGATATATTGTTATAATATCAGTTGAAAAATATTAAAAATACATAGGCACAGTTTTTTTTTATAAGCATTTAAAGATCAAATTTTGACAAAATTTATCAAAATCTCGAAAATTATCAATCATTGTAATTAATAAATTATAAAATGTTCAGTTTTTATAGCTAAGGATTGCAAATTCAACACAAAGGTTCTCGTAAATAGTTCATACTGTAACCAAAAAATCTAAAAAATATATTAACACAGTTATTTTTTACAGACATTTTAAATTCAAATTTGGACGAAATTACATATTAAAAAACCTAGAATAACTATTTTAGTTATTTTGTTGTGATTGAATAATATTATTCGTGGATACTTGAAACTTCTAAAGTGTACTATTATATATCTATGATAGTATCACGGTTTTTGTTGATGTATAACGCGTTATAAGTACCTAATGGATATTTTGATATGATTAATTTGGAATTTATTATAGGTACCCATTATAGGTCAATTTTTTGTTTAATACCATAGATATGTATATAATATGTCTTATACATAGACTGACATACCGTCTGCGCTCAGAATCGTTTTTCTTATACAATGATATTATATCGTTGAATTCAAATTTAATATCATCCATTATACAGTGACCCACTTGTAACCTACTGTACAGCAGAGCGACACCCACTTGCCCACCTTTTTTATAATTTTAAATATGGTAAAGATTTTTACCTAATTATATGTTTAAATATAATATAGGTAGGTACACACAATCTTTTTGCTATATATGCTTTATAGAACCATATATATATTTTTTACAATAGCTTTAATTAATATTTATAATAAAAAAAAGAACACTTAAAGTGTAGTTATATTTTAATAATAATACACTGGTCACTGGGTATTAGGTCGTCACATTCCTATAAATAATCATAATAATATTGTCCCAACAATACGCAAATTGCAACCCGTTTGGTTTTCTTAGAAATGGGTTAATATCGTCGCACACTCGGAAGCGCAGTTATATGCAAACCAGAGGGCTCTGGTCTGATAAAATATAGTAACTAAGTAATAACATAGAAAAATTATAAAAATTAATGTATTCATCAATAACTTTTATATAATTTGATTTGAACATGATTATGATTAGAACATAATGCAATGACCTTGATGGCGGAGGGGCTCCAGAACCAACATCAAGGGGCCCCTTTACAGGGGCATTGCCTCTTTACAGGGATATTGCCCTGGTTGCCCCTGCAGTTTCTGTGGAACTTTCTGGAGCAGTGAATGGGGTAAATAATTTGAACGTAATAGTACGTCTGGACTCTGGAGTAGTGAAAGGTTTAAACAAATGGTGCTGTGCTTCATAACTTATGACTTAAAAAAAAAATTATTTATTTTTTAAATTTAAATAAATATTAATATTGAGTAATAATAATAATTATACATACAACCATTGATTATAAATATTGTAAATATTATTTATAAATTATAATCAATGACACAAGTATACAACATGCCTAATATGAATCGATGGTTATGACACATCCAAAAATAAGTCAATATTTAACAATATAACTAAATATTCTAAAGTAAAATAATAATAAATATTATTGTTAAGAATTGATTTATTTATGAATACTCATATCTCATATAGTATCACAAATAATACATAAACTATGTACCTTTACTCTTATAATGCAATTTACAGACTATTTAAAACCTAAATATTAAAATAATTTAATGATAAAGAAACAAAATTAATTTAACAAGAAATAGATGTTTCTAGAATGAAGGTTTTTATAAATTTTTAATAAACTTTAGTAGTTTTTGACAATAATTAATATACATTTTTAAAAACAGTGTTAATTCATTCAACTTTAGCTCTTGTATCCATTTTGGCTTCTCCTTCATCAATTGGACGGCCTCTTATACAATGTGGATTCATTTTTCCATTGACTGCATCTTCAGTGACATGAACACTAACTACATCAGATCCAGGTATTTCAAACATTGGGTCCAACAAAATGGATTCCTGTAGAAATGTAATGTCATATAAATTATTATCGAACTATTAACACAGTGGATAAAGTTAACAGTTAACAGTGCAGTAGTTAAGTACAATTATAGTATGTAAGCACATTTTTAGAAATCAACACAAATAAGCTGAGACAATAATTTGACTATGATATTATTATATTTAATTGGAATAATTAATGAATTTAATTATTCATGGTATTTTGTTAGTAAATGTTAAAGTTCAAGTAACTAATTATTCAGTGTTTACATAATTATATAAAATAAGAATTTAGAATGAAATATTACCACAATTGCTCTTAATCCTCGGGCACCTGTTTTTTTTTCTAGGGCTTGTGAGGCAATCGCTCTAAGTGCTTCATCCGTAAATGTTAATTCAACTTTGTCTAATCCAAATAGTAATTTGAATTGTTTAACTGTACTATTTTTTGGCTCGGTAAGAATTCGTACAAGCAAGTTTCTATTTAAGGAGTGGAATGGAACCAAAACGGGAAACCTTCCCACAAACTCCTGGTAAAAAAATTAACATGTATAAAATATATTATATTAAAAAACTTGAAATAAAACATTAATTTTATTAAAATCAATATTTTAACTACACATAATTCATGACAGAGAACCTTTGTTTCGATCAAATTACTGGAGCAATGATATAACATTTATAGTAATTATGATTTATGAATTATTGTAAAATTTTAATAATTACTGTTTAATAATCCCCACCTGACCCACTTTTGACCTAACAAAAACATCATCCAATGACAAATTCCTTTTTCAGTTTTGGCCATTTAAAGCATATAAAAATACTTAATGATACCTACTGAAAATTGTGTATAATACCTACATACTCAAATATTTATTAATAATTTTAAAGTACTAATGAATGATAAACTGTAGCAATCGTAAAGCAATATTTTACTAATATAAATTTAAATTGTTAAACATGTATCATTATTGGCATAATTTAGAATTTGGTGTAGAGACTAGGGACGACATTTTAAAATTAATGATATTAAATAAAAATATATTTAATTAAAAAAGTAATATATTTTATTTTTACCTATTACATTTACATAAATTTAAAATCTGAAATCAATGAGAATTATTTGATTTAAAATGTTCTGTTATTTCAAGGAATTTGTGAATAATTTACTTAAAATAACTATGATGTATAAATTATCAACAATTTAACTGAAAATGTAATGTTAATGGGAAATGGATTTTTAACCTATTGTTTATTGCGGGCCTGGCGTGGTGACTGAAAAAACATTTTTTGTAACGAAAAAGCCTGACCGTAAAATGTTATTATTATTTTTGTTATTTACAGTCTAACCAGTTGCTAAGCAAATAAAGTCTCAAATAAAATATTTCCGTATGGTGTTTATCTACCATTATCAAAAAAAAAACTAATTTTGTCATATTCTTTTCAGTTGTCGAGCTCAAAAAGTGTAACTTGAATTTATATCATACAAAAATAAGTAGTTATAATTTATTACATGATACATAGGTACAAAATTGTTATGCAATAGCTTTACCGCGACAGTCCCCGAGTGCCTCAGACATTTTTATTATTATTATTTCTACTAGGTATATGAAAAAATTAATATTTTAATGATATATTGAAATTCAAATAACACTTAAAATCAATTTTTAAATAAGATAAATAATCTACCCACATCAATAGGTCTATTAGATATGTAATATTAATTTCAATAATAAATGGATTATTAATTACAGGTATCATTCCAAATTGAATTAAATCTCTTGGTTCAACTTTTTTTAATAGTCCATCTCGTTCAGCATTTTCTTTTTCAATATCAGTGTATGAAGTGGTTGAAGCAACACGGTCGGCTTCAGCAACAGCTCTACTACTTCCCATTTCATTATTAATTTCGACTCCAAATCCCAGACTCTGAAAATATAAATAAAATTAATGAATTAACTTCAACTTAAGACAGTATAATGTGAATAAGCTGTTTCGTTCCTTACGTTTTGGTTTGTCCTGCGACTTATAAGTCTATCAAGACCAGTAAATGCACCAGAAGCAACAAACAGGATATTAGTAGTATCAACTTGAACAGTTTCATTTCGAAGTTTTCTGGTATTTTTTTCTGGTACATTAACAACAGTACCTTCCAACATCTATAAGTAATACAATACATAAAAAATATATTATAAAAGGAGTTTTTAAAAATAAGAATATGTTGGAAATTGCCATGGAAAAAGAGACAAAAACTGCAATAAAAATATTATATGCTGGAAATTATTTTATATATTAAGTGTTATAAAATAGATTGCAATAGCTGTATATGAGTGTTGATAATCTTCTCTGATTTATTTTCCTAGTACAATGTCTAATTGTGATGAGAAAGGTATTTATTAGCTCATTATTACCAATAACAATACATCCAGCCTATCTACCATCTTATTAAATTTAAAACTATTTTGTTCAAATTTATCATTTAACAAATGTCATTGTTGTAAATCAACTGAGAAAGGAATGGAAAAACGAATCTTATATAATGATTAACTAATAAATCGGATAACATTTTTGATGAGTATACCTAATGTATGATATTGTAGATAATGATTCTATAATAATTATTAATTTCTATAATTTATTGTATAGTAAGTTCTGAAAATAATCTATATTTCACAGTGAATAGCCCATGATTAAGCACATATTTTTTTTTATGTTACCAAAATTATTACTTTTTATCATTAAAAAATGTAAAAGGTATATTTATAAAAAAAAAGTTGAGATAATAAATTATTAGAAATTTAGTTTCTTAATTAATGCCTAAATTAACCAATAGATATATTATCTAAAACATAAATTTCCAGTTTATTGAGAAATCAAACCTTTTTTGGAAGAGGTAGGGATAAAGTTAATAATAATATAATCAAAAATTAGCCTCCACATTTGTTTTTTTCATATATGCCAGAGAACACCTCTAAAAATCATTTGTCAAATATAAGAGATTAAATCAAAGAACTTCAAATAAACATAAATAATTTATTTTTTAAATATTTATTAATGATTAACCAGTGTATAATGTATTCATTATTAAAATAACTTTAATAAATGTACCTATTTAATGATTAAAAATTAAAAATTACTTTCAACATTCCTTGTTGGACTCCTTCACCTCCAACATCCCTCAATTGATGAATTCCGGGCACTGCACCGATTTTATCAATTTCATCCAAGAAAATAATACCTAAAACATTTTTTTATCATATTGAATAATAAAATGTATAATATTAATAGTATTTATGAATTAGTGCTACCTACTTTACTCTATTTATTAGATAATATGATTGTCTTACAACTTAAATTATACAATCGACGAATATTGTAATTATTTTTTGATTCCTAACAAAGCAAGTAAGAAATTGCTTTTAGACTTATTGTAAAATACTAAAAATAGAGATATCTTTTTAATTGTTGGATAGTTTCAGAGAAAAGTCACCACATTTTTACTAAACAATGATAAATTAAAAAAATTGTACATAATATTTTTTAGACATAAAAGTTTCAATACAGAAATAAATAATATATTTTAAATTTTAATATCACAATACTTAAAACTACACATATATTTACATTGGTATATTACATTGAATGAAATGTTGGTAGTCCTAATATTCCACTTTAAAACCTGACAACATTCAAGTAAATTGAGTAAGCATAAGAGTAGACCACTATTCAGTAAATACAAGTACTATACAACAATATTTATAGATGTAACCGACATAACTGATTGATTGATGGCAACAAAAAGAATCTTGTCAGTCATTCAGAAAAAATAAATAAAAATTAAGGTGCTAAAGACAATATACCCATATTAAAGGAACTAAAGATTAGTTGAAGTTATACACAATCATAATGTATAGATTTGTAAAAAATATTTTACAATACATAAATTAATTTATAAACATAAATAATTGTATCCATATTCCATATTATTAGCAATCGTGAATCGTGAACAATAGAACATTTCTTAAATGAAATCTTTTATTCTATGATAAAATATTTATATTATTTCTGAAAACAAGACTAAATACCAATAACAAATTATTGAAATTAGGTGTTTCAATAATGTTTAGAAAACAAAAATAACCAAATAATAGTTCCAACAGGTGATATTATAATAGATTATAAAATGTCTTCACAACCTTCAAAAATTTGCTTCAATTGTTATTTTTAATATAATATGCCTAATCGTTTTTATTCACAAATTTTAAAACAATAGAATAATAATAATCCAACGGCATTGTAATACATAATGCATTGTCAGCAGAGATTTGACCCAATATTATTACATTGTTTTTAATCTAACCACGAATCTTATACATGATTAAGACATAAGACTTATGTCACATAACATTCAGTTATGTCATGAAATTATATAATATATATAATACAATTTTGAGTAATAAATTAGATGACTGGTAAAATATAATGCCTGAAAACATAGCTAGCTACTAGCGTTCAGAGGACGTTACACCCACATGTGTTGTCTCTGCCTTATTACGTACGACATAGATAAAACGCGATTACACAGTCTAAGTAGAACTTGCTCATTTTGGTTCTAGAGTAAAAATACCTATTACAAAATTGATTGTGACAATATTTCTGAGGGCAAGTTGTTGCTTTTTTCCATTATACCCAATATAACGTTCATTATATCATTTAGAAATAGCAATAATTTCAACATTTTTTAAATACGTTTAACTTTTTAAAATATAAAATTTTTAAAAAAACTCAACGTCTTGCTTTCTAAAATATTGTCATCTTTTAGTTTTGTAATAGATTTTTTTATTAAACTATTCTAACACCAAATTTGACAGAGTTCTACTCAGACTGTGTAAATGCATTTTGTCTACATCGTACGTGTGTAAGACGGAGACAACATATACGGGTGTGAAATCCTCTTAAACTTTTAAGTAATAACTAAGATTTAATTTTAATATACTTAGAAGCTAACTCTTTTTGGTGTAAGATCAGAAAACTAATAGATCTTAAATATTAAATGCATTTTTTTTTATAGATATTAGAATATTGAACAAATAAATAAAATTATTACAATTTATATATTACCAGTTTGAGCTTTTTCAACATCATAATTAGCGGCTTGTAGGAGTTTTCCAATTACACTTTCAATATCTTCTCCCACATAACCAGCTTGTGTCAAATTAGTACAATCACAAATTGCAAATGGTACATCTAATTGCTTAGCTATTGTTTGAGCCAATAATGTTTTTCCTAATTAAAATAAATAACTAAAATATAGTCGATTTTATAAATTATACTGTAATAAATATACATTTAAAAAATATTGGTATATATTTCAATATTGTACTTCTAAAATAGTATTACGGTGAATAATTACAAACCACATCCTGTAGGCCCCAACAATATAATGTTACTCTTTTCTAACAGTGTATCTTCAAATATTGAAGTAATTTTAATTTCGTCTTGATTGTTTTTTGTACTATCCATTTGTGGCATTCCAAATATATGGTTGTTAGATAAATTCTCTAAATTATAATATTATATCATCAATGTTTTATATTATATAATATTTATACAATTTTTAAAATAAGTATATCATATTATAAACAGACATACATCATTATTTAAATAGTTTAAATATAAAATATAAAAAAATAGTAAGAATTATATGATTATAATTTATAAATAGTTTAAGTAACACAGCACTACACTACAACCTCTTTATAATTAACCCAATATAACAGGGATGGGCAACTAGCGGCCCGCGTACCATTTTTCACTGGCCCGAGCTACATTTCAATTTAGTTTATATAAATATAAAATGTTAAGATTTTCTGTATTTTATTTTATTATATTTATAAAATTATTAAAATTGATATTATGTGTATGGTAAAACATAGATATAAATTCTTATCTAGTATTGAATTATTAAATGTAAATAATATTATATTATTTATAGGGGTATAGTTTTTTTGTTTTGTTTTTTTTTTTCGAGTTAATCGAGGGACGGAGGAGGAACTGTGTTAGCATTACTTCTCCTAGGAGGGGATATAGTTAACATAAGGTTTTTTTTGTGTACTTTCCATGTTGTTTTGTCCACTAGATTTTTGCACATTTAAAATTGGTCATCTAGTAGCATTGAGTTGCCCATCCCTGCCCTATACGACAGACATTTTCTAGTATGAATAATTACATCAGTCCCGTACAACCCAAATGGCTATATCCTGCATATTTTATTCTCTCTTCCTTTATCAGGAAAAAACCCTAAAAATCAACTGGCCCTGAGCAATTTCATTATAAAGAGGTTCTACTGTATATAATTTAAATGACCTTGTACTTAATATTTTTTGTAAATAAATAGATAAATAAATTTGTAAACTTATAAAAACAAAGTTGTATTTGTATATAATCATAAAAAATATTATTAAAATTTAGTTACCTCTTGCATTTTGTAAATTATCTAGTAACCGTTGATCAATCACGTCATTCTTTTTTGGTGTTGTAATATTATGAATAATACGTTTACAATGATTGTAAACTGCCACAGCTAACACTTTTTTAGCTAAGTCTTGACCAATAACATACTTATTGAGGTTCACAAAAATCTGTATTGAACAAAGTATTTAAAATATATGGATTAAATATTAATTAATTTAGTAAAGAACCAAACACAATCATTACGACAGTATTTACCTAATTATAAATATCTATCTATATTTCAAAATACTTTATTCATTATTCTTAATTATTATTACCTATCTGAACTTTGAAACTTACATACATAAATAAAATCTCATCATAAATTTATCTTTATCAAAATAATATAAAAATAAACTTGAGCATAATAAAATTAATTGACAAATTATGAGTTAAATTTTGAAATAAATTTATTTTAGGCATGATTGAATACATAAAATCAAAACTTTATACTCAACCTCAACCAAAAATAATTTTTTAATTTTAGTTTTAAATGATTACACTAATGTCAAACACTATAATGTAATGTTCGGAAATTCTACAATAGTAGGTATTATAATATATGTGCTACAATAATAATGAATAATAATTCTAGGAATAATTACTCACTTCTTTTGGAATTGGTGGTGGTTTATATTTATTTTGTTCTTCTGTTACATCTTTTAAATTATTTTCTTCAGCAGAAATTACTTTGAATATATGATAACATCGCTGACATCTCAAAAATCGATTAGAAGCTATAACAGGACAAAAACATAAAATATATTTTATATTTAATAATTTTTAAATGTTGGCAAAATATTACTTAAAAAGAACTCTAAATTGGCAGTTGTACACTTTGGACAAACAATTCCCGTATGGCCTGTGTTATCACCCTTGCGTCCTGTCCCAGAGTTTTCTACATTCAAATAATTAGGCGACGTCTGGAAATTACGTTGGTGAACAGTGTCTCTTTTGTGATGGCCATGGGTCAACACACCTTCAAAATGCAAGGACAAGGTTATACACCAAATTATCATCTATGGACTCTAATAATCATCTTTACTTACTCAAGTTTCTTGATAAATTTAAATAATTAGTGTACAGTTTGGATTGTATACATTTCGAACACAATCTAGTCGCCATTTCAAAAGCCTGTGCGTCAAAACAAAACAAACATTAGGGTTAATTTAACACGATTTTTTTTTTTTTTTTTGAAAACAAGCCTGCTTTTGACCATTAAAATTAACATAATGTTTAGTACCGACGACAATTAATAAAACGTAATTTTTAAATCGAGTACGTACTTGAAATAGCTTCTTCTACAGGCACGTCGTCGTTCTGGGAACAAAACGTTACAAGTACGCCCCACGAGAAATCCTTCGAAGTTCGAAGCCAAAAAATAATATTTTAGAACGACCAACTGGCGACGACCGACTGGCGACTACTGACTAGTGACCGCCGAGTGGAGACTGTCTAGTGACTACAATGTCCGTGGAATAGGTAGGTACCTATTCAATATTGTTATTTGTTACCTACCGAGTTTTGTTTATTTTGTTTAACAAATAACAACTAAACACTAATAAATGATAATACATCGAATGATAACGAGGTCATTAATCGATCAGCTGTTGTGAATTAGTGACCGTCAGAACTCGGAACCAGATAGTTATGTTCTGTGCACGATTGAAGCCGGGTTCACAAAATATCACACTACACCGTGACGTGTAAAATAATCACAGTTTTTTTTTTTTTTAATATCACTACCAAACAATAATTTATTAGTGATTACTTATTATCCCATGCCTTATGGTCATAAATCCCAATGGCCGCTAATCGTTTAAATCGTCATATTTAAAATATAAATCATGTATAGATATTGTACTATCGTAGGTAGGTACAAGCACGTACACGTTTCTACATTTGAGTAGGTAGTTATTAGTGTTATTACCACTGTCGCAAATAGGAGGGAGGTTGGTTGGATGGGGGGAACTTGATCCCTCCAAATTTCTGCCAAATGCATCCAATCAAAAAGTCAGCGAATACCCATACTCGGCATTGAGCATATTATATCATTTGTTTGTTATACGGCCTTATTCCCCCTCAAAAAATTGGGTTATTAGCACCTATTATGCTTAATACCATTCTGATCCACCGCCGCTCACTTGTAGTTTAAGCTTTAAAAGTTTAAAAATTTAAATAATATGACATCTTTACGGGGGAAAACACATCATAAAAAGTAAAAACTGGTTGCCTTCAATTAAAATTTCGTCGAACTTCTACGTATTCCCTCGGCGACCCCGACACCACTACAGTGCAACTACTATACAACAGTTGTAGTGCCAAGCCGTCAAGGCCACAACTTTGTTATTAGTTTGCCCCACTAATAAATAATATCTACTATTGTGTAACGTTGTTATGGTTTAAAAATAGTAAAGACCTAATGAGCATTCGTATAGTTCATCGCGTTTTGTATTTAAATTTAAAGTTCGACACGCCTACCGTTAGGTACGTGATACATCTGGCTTCTGCACTGTGTATATAATTTAAATTTAAAATACAAACTGAACATGTGATTATGATATTATTATGACGCTGGTCTTACAATAATCACAATAATCAGCGTCCCGTTGGCCTTAACCATATACATTTATTAATATGTCCCTGTGCATAAAATTAATAGAAAATCAAGTAAATAACTCTTTCCACAAGAGTTATTTCTCATCCCCTCACACATGTGTCAGTGTGTCTGGTGTCACAGTCAGTGGCGTAGCCAGGAATTACCCGAGGGGGGGGGTTTAATGACTTTTATTTTTGCTCAACTCTAAAATATATTGTTCAGGAGTGGTAAAACTAAATGCGCTAAAATGTACCGAGTTATACTCTTATATACGCTTATTTAGTAATACATTTTTTTTTTATTAACTGAAGGTGAATAATATTATAAGGTGAATAATATATTTATTTATGTTAATATTAAACACGCAGTACATACTTATTGACTTATTATTATAAACAAGTAAAAATAGAAAATAAAAAAAAATTTAAATTGTAATATTTATATTAAAGTTAATATATTTTTTCACATTATAAATTACAAGCTATAGCAATCTTATTTTTCTTGAGTCTTTTGCAAAGTCATTAAGAACTTCATCTGTTGTTAAAATAATTTCACGATGAATATTTAGTAGTGCTAAACTATTTAATCTGTTTTCTCCAATAGTATTTCTAAGGTATGTCTTAAGTCTTTTTAACGTAGAAAATGACCTTTCACTGCTTGCTGTAGTTACGGGAAGTGTAGCTATTATTTGGAGAAGTTTATAAGTAGATGGAAAAATGAGTGGGTTACATGCTATAAGAGCTTCTAATGCATTTTTTGGTTTTTCTGTTCCCACAAATTTTTGTGTCCATGTCAATACTTCTCCAATTACTGAATCTGAACTACATTGAAGATCTTCACTATACTTTTCTGCCAAACTTTTTATGTTTTCTTCTCTATTTGGCAAATTATTGTTTGGTAAGAGACAGTAAAAATTGGTAATTAGAGATTTATGTGCAATGAACCTATCATGAAGTTGACTAATAAAATTATCTAAAAATGGAATAAACAATAATATTTTATAGTATTCATTTGGACAAGTAGTTTTTACATTAAACCGATTTTTTTGTATGTTTGTTAAACGAGGTAAAGTTATTTCAATATCATTGATATATTAGATAAATTGATATATCAGCAATATTTCAATATTGCTTGAGTGCTTTTCTTTTCAGATTATTTATAGCGATTACTTATTAGTGGCCTTAATAACTACTAACTAGTAATAACTAGTATTAAACAAACGTTAAACCGTTAAGAATTTAACAGTTACAGACCAACAAACCACACTTGACACTATCACAGTAGAATATAATCAAGACTCAATATTAATATTATAATATAGAACAATATTACCCGTCGCTGTCGTCGGGTCATACATACACGCCATAGACATATACTTATGTTTATATAATTCTTAGTAGATGTGGGATCGTTCGGTCGTCGGTGCGATAAGCACGCGACGATCACCGAATAACGTCCCACAGCCGTACATACTACATAGAAAATACTAAAATAATATTAAATAATAATAAAAATAAAAGTATTAAAATCATACAATAAAAACATTTTTTTTTTTTTTTTAAGGCCAAGGGGGGGGGGGGGGGTTTGAACCCCTAAAACCACCCCCTGGCTACGCCACTGGTCACAGTCTAGTGTTACACTCTCCCAGCTCCTTGCAAATAATAAAATGTGACATGTGTAGAATTGAGTCGTCAGCTTAACCTTCCCCCCCCCCCCAAAAAAAAATCTGTTCTTCAAATCTAGCTAATCCATCTCGAAGGATATTGTACAAAAATGATTTTATATTTTATGTTTTACTCATTTCGTAGTACCTCCGCTGTGAGGCCTCTCCCCAGTTTGTCTAATCAGTTATCTGCCTTTTTGTTTTTATTTATTTTAACCTATAAACCATCAATTGTTCTTATTTGTTCTTCTTTTTTTGTAACAGATTGAATAAAAAACATATAAACCAAAAAAAATATATTTTATGTTTGTATCCTATAATCCTATATAATCCTATATAATCCTATATAATCCTACTAAGCAACTAGTACTACGGGTTTGGCGAACCTGGGGCCCCGAGCCCCACACTGACTTTAATTAGTTGGTGTGGACTGGTCCTCCAGGTTGGGGGTTGTGCGTAGGGCCGACGACCCTACCACTTAAAAAAAATAAAATGTTAAGAAACAACAACATTATTCTAAGGAATGGAAACAATATGTTGTTGCGGCGATGGGCCTTAAAGGCCTGTAAAATCCCAGAAGAAGAAGAAGAAGAAGATCTTATAATCCTATGTAATTATAAATACAAATTTAGAATTATTATCTAAAATCATGGTATAATATGATAATTGATGAGTATAATTATATATTGCTCGTTGGCGGTATACTGCATAGGTACTTTTAAAAAGGTAACACTAATAAAAAAATAATAACTACTATCTAATATAATTTGGCATAACCGGTCAATATCGGTAGCTCCGCAACTAATAATTATAATATAATAACGACCGAACGGAATTTGGAATACTCTAGGTCTTTAAAATTTTAATTATATACGTTATACTCGTTAAACGAACACCGAATTATTTTAATCGCGGAATTATCATAAATTTATCTATGATTTACGAAATATTTTTCAAAAGTATAAAAAATGTGTGTCTACCTATATATAAATATTAATTAATTTTTTTTTTTAGATTCAGAATGAAACGATGAATGTATTGATTTTACAATGATGTGTGTTTTTTTATTTTTTTATTTTTGTTTTTTTTGTGTCTGTCATCATCTTTTAGGACAGTAAAAATGCTTGGATTTTCTTCAAAAGTATCTTTTTTGATAGGAAAGTGAATCTAGTTGGTACTTTGGGGGGTTAAAAGTAAAAGTTTCCCCAGTAGTTTTCAAAAGCGCCGTGAAAAACAATAGAAAAATTAAGGAAAAACGGGAATTTTTACGCAAAATCTGTTTTCGAAAAAATCGATTTTGGTTTTTGGTGCAACTCTTAAACAAATGACCTTAGGTACATGAAATTTTACTGAATGCTTATATTAGCATTTTCTATACACCATAACATTTTCAAAATATTTTGACTTATTTTGAGCTTTTTACGAACATTTTCATTTTCAGTTTCCATTTTTTTTTAGTTTTTTTTTCTCTAAATATCAATACAATTTTATTTATTGGTTACAAAAGCTTGAAAATTTAATACAAGGCTCCTATTATATTGTTTCGAAGGGGGATGAAAAAAAAGGATTAATCCAGTCACAACTTTTTTTAAAAGCATTTAAAGTTCAAATATTGACAAATACGTAAAAATGACGAAAATTTGCAAATTATTTTGAGTTAGAAATTAATAAAAAATTTTCTTTTTAAATCTATGATTTGAAAATGTAATACAAGATTCCTCATAAGTTTGTCTACCTTTATCAAAAAAAAAAAACATCTACAAGAAACTCAATTTAAATTTTTATGAGCGTTTGAAATTCATATTTTTACAACATTTGATATCCACTCGATTTCTCATGGTAATGATTTTCTTATTTTAGTGT